AGGAAAAAAAGCATGTGAAAAAACTCAGCATCAATTTATGATAAAAACTCTCAATAAAGTGGGTAAAGAAGGAATACTCCTCAACATAAATAATAGGCCAACATAAATAATAAGGGCTATATATGACAAACTCACAGCTAATATCATACCCAATGGTGAAAACCTGAAAGCTTTTTCTCTAAGATCAGGAATAAGACAAGGATGTCCACTGTCCCCACTTTTATTCAATATAGTCCTAGCCACAGGAATTAAGCAAAAAGAAGAAAAAGCATACTGTGAAATAATGATTTATAAGAAATATGCATTTGGTCAATCAGATGACCAAAATATATTTCTCAGATATCTGGAATTCATACACAATTCCTGAAAATGCTTCAGAGCCCATAAAGGTAAAATGGGTGTCTTATTACTTCACAAAGTGAAGGTGACTTTTGGACCCACCCAAAGGTGGAAGCTGATTGCCAGGAAGACTATGTGATTAGATAGCTGCAAATTTTCAGTCCCACCACCAACCTCTGGGAAGGAGAGAGAGCCTAGAAGTTGAATCAGTCAGTGGCCAATGTCAATCATGACTACGCAATGAAACCCTCATAACAACCCAAACGAACAACTTTTGGCTCTCTTTTCAGAAGGCTTCCAAGCTTGGGGAATTCTACAAGTCGCCAAGCCAGGCCCTAAATTCAATGAGTTTGGAACCTCCCTTCTGGGGACCCTGCCCTATGTCTGTGTTCTGTGTTCTGCTGTTGTTGAATGAAGCATTGGTTGAGTTATGGGGTTCAAGTGCTCTGTTTCCTTGTTGATCTTCTGCCCAGCTTCTCTATCCATTGTTGAAAGTGAGGTATTTGAGTCTCCAGTTTTCATTCACTATTGAATTTTATTTCTCTTTCCATTTTTTTCAGTTTTACTTTATATATTGTGGGCATTTGTTGTTGGATGTGTATTTGTTGTTGTATATATTTTTAATTGTTTTCTTTTTTTAATGGATTGACCCTTTTATCATTATAAAATGTCCCTCTTTATCCCTAGTAACATTTTTTGTTCTTAAGATCTGTCTAATATTATGACAGCAACTCCAGATCTCTCATGGTTGCTGATTGTATGATACAGCTTTACCATCTTTCTACTTTCAACTTATTTGGATCTTTCAATCTAAATTGTGTCCCCTGTGCAGAGCATATACTGGGATCTTGTATTTTTATCCAGTATGACATTCTCTGCCTTGTTTAATTGATTAGATTGTTTGACTGAATCATACTTAACATTATTATTAACAGATTAGGAGTTGCACCTGCCATTTTATGTTTTGCTTTCTGTATGTCTCAAATCCTTTTTCTTTCTCTATTACTCCTTAAATGCTTTTTTTACATTAAGTGAATATTTCCTAGTTGATATTTTAACTCCTTTAATTTTTCATCATATTTTTTAGTTATTTTCTTGGTAGTTGCTCTAGGGATTAGATCTTAATCTATTAGAATCTACTTCAGATTTATATTACGTTAATGAAGGAAGACAGAGAAATGCTGGCCCCGTCTGTAAGCCATGCACCAGCAGCTGGAGTGCGCTCACAGCCACATGGCAGCAGCGAGAAGAGTAGGGATCAGCAGGGCAGGTAGTTCCTGGAGTGTCTCTGCCCTTGGCTGTGTGTACAATCACCCTGTCATTTCTAACAATGTCAATATACCTTTCTCGCCCAGAGCTCCAGGTGCAGCAGATCAAAAGATGAAGCCTGGGTATCAATAGTAAGTTCTTGAGGTGATTCTAACTTGCAGTCCAAGTTTAGAACTGGCACAACACAGTGTTATCCTCTGAGGTTGCAACTTCTGAGCTGCTGAGGCCACCAAGCTCTACTCCCTCCAGTTCCCAGGGCCTCTAGTCCCTCCAGAAATCCTAATTGTGTAGATGAAACTGTACATCCACGGGGTCCATGGTGCTGGGCATCCTCTCATGCCCTGTCAGTGGAGGGGCTTCGGAGACAAGCAGTCCAAGGCAGGAAGCTTGGGGAGGACAAACCCACACTCACTCACGCTGCGCAGATGTTGGTTTTTAATCATTCTAAATAGACCATCTGCCTGTCTGGGTCTGATGGTCGGGTCCCTAGGAAGTAGGGTATGTTTTCTGTTGTATGGAAAAAAAGGATAAAATAAAACCACTGCATGTGGATGCACAATAGTAGTGTGAACTACTGAAATCTAAATTCTCATTTGCCACAGGTTTTTTTTGAGAAAGTGAGGCTTCTTGGTCCTTGGGCAGAAGAACACTGAGTGTTTTCTCAACTCACCTCCTGTAGGCACTGGCGCTGGAAAACATGGCTAAGTGGGGCATCTGGCAAACAGCCACCTTGCACTTTATCCCTTTCCCAGGCACAGACTCCCCACGCAGGCAATCTGAGCCTGGGCCTGGGCCTGGTCCCCGTGTGGGCAGGGCTTGCTTTCCAGCGCTGGCACGGCTGGGTTTCTGGCTGCCTGGGCCCTGGACGGGGCCAGCAATGGAGGTGCAGTTTGAAGGGTTGCACCTTGGGGATTTTGTGGAAGGGCTGAGGGAGCAAAAAAAGCTTGACTGTCTCTGTTATAGTACAGGACACGTTCAAAGACCATGTGGGCACTGGGCTCAGAGGTACTAGCTGATGGGAAATGTGCTCCCCTCAGTGAGGAAGCGGCACGGGGCTCAGGGCACACAGGGCTCCCTGATTTAAGAATTTTGGACAGGACTGTGTGTCACATCTAGCTGGCCCAGGACTGAAGCGTCTCTTACTGCCCTCTTCTTTCACTTGGCGAGTATGTCCTCAAGTTTTTCAAGATGGCCTCTCCTGCAGCACAGTAACAATCTTCGCAGGATCGCTTACAATGATACACAGCTTCATATTCAGCCGTCCTGCACCCTGGTTGACTATCCCAACACTAGCCGGAATCCCGTACCCTGTACATGTGCTCTTTCCAGTGAACGATTCAGAAAAAACCTCGGAACTGAGATCTCCTCACCCCATCACACTTACATATGGGTTTGAACTCTCCTCAACCCTGTGCCTCTCTCCCTTTCTCCTTCCTCATAACCCAGCTCGTTGAGAGAGTGGCTCATGTCTGCTTTTCCACTCTCCCCTTCTGTGTTCTCTTCTGCACTTCAGTGTAGCTGCTACCCTCGTGGCTCCACCAAGGAGCTCTCATGATGACACTCCATTGCCTCTGCCTCAGTTTACCCAGGGGACGTGCTCCAGATCGCAGGTGGCCCCTCAGTCACACGTGGTGACCTGCCCCTTCCTGGAGCACTCTCTTCCCTGAGTCCTGGGACGGCACACTCACCAGCCCCCTCCTGTACCCCCTGTGAAGCCCCCACACTGGCTCCTCCTCTCCTTGACACATAGACGCATGGACCCCCTGTTCTTGGTTCAAAGCCCATGGCCCCCTTGCCGTGGACTGTAGCCCTCTCTCAGTTACCATCAATGGCACAGAGTTTCCAGTTTAAACCTCCCTCCAAGACATCTCTGAATCCACATCTGTGCACACCAACGCCCTCTGGCCATCCCTCCCAGGACTCAGGGGCACACCCAAGGCCACGCTCATTGTCCCCCTCCACAGCCTGCTCCTTGCTGGTATTCCAGACTGCATTCTAGAACCTGGGAGCTGCCACCGGCATGTTCCTCACCCCCATCACCCAGTCCACACCCTTTCACAGCAAATCCACGCACTTCACTCGGTTCTGGCTGTCACTAGCCTAACTTGTACCAAGCCCACCATCTGTCATATGGTCTATTATGCCAGCTAACTATGCAGATCCCCATATACACCCTGCCAGCTACACACACACTGTGATCGCTCCAAAATTCAAACCTAGCATTGTCCCCGTGCTAAAAATAATAATAGCAAAGTGAAATAAAAATAAACCTTCAGTGGCTTCCCATTGCTCTTATAACAAAGAGCAAAGCCCTGACCGAGGGACCCCTGTGGCCCCTACCTACCTGCACACCACTCCAGTGGCCTGTTCTCCCTGCTCTGCTGTGTTGGAGCCGCATGGAGCAGGTCCGATGTGGCGGGCAGAGCACAGTAAGAGCGATCCCGGAGCCGGGCGGTGGGAGTGCCACGGTGACAGACCATTTCACGCGGCTTCCTCGCTAGCTACTCAACGGTTTCCTTTTGAGTCCCTTGCGTTACTCTTGCCTCATCTTACCCTGTCGAGTAGGTGGCCCAGGATTACACCTATCCCCTCTCAATGTGTTAGAAAGGAGAAGAGATAAGAAATAGGGATACGAAGAATAAAGTTCTTAGAACTCTTGCCTCATTTCTATTGAAGACTTACCACTACTGAGACTCTATCTTTCACATATGGACATGCACAACACATTCCTTTTAGAGGTGAGAGCAAAACTCTTAAGGTCCAAACTGGCCTACTTGTATTGATGATATAATGGAAATCATGTAACTCATGGTGTTTATTTCACTTTTACCCTATCATCTGGCTACCCAGGTTGCCAGCAGTTTCGAAGCTGAGTTAAGGCTAAGAGCAGCAACTGTCTCTGGACTGAGATGATATCCTCCTTTCCAGCCCTTGGCTCTTTAGTCTTTATCCTAATTTTAAGGGTCCTATTGTATGTTACTTTTAGCCAGGGTAACTGCAAACCCTTATTTTAAAATAAGGACAATGCAATAAACAAAATGTTCTGTACATTTGCAGAGGATTACCCACAGAAAGTAAACTCAGAGAAGAACTGGAGAGCAAGAGAAAGAAATAACTGACTCCGCCCCCTGTGACCCTGACCCCAGGAGACACCCCCAGGACCTGGGGAGGAAGGCAATGCCACAGATCCCTGGGGGCAGTCACCTGCATGCAAAGGGAGGCGAGGAGCTTCAGGAGGCTTTGTGCCAGCTGGTGAGGTGACACACAGACAGGGGTGCCACAGTGTCCTCCACAACGCTCATGCCCAGTGATGGAATCACTGAAAAGGGCATCGAAAGATTGCATACCAGAAAACTTAAGACTGTGAAGCCAACTGAGGTCACCCTAAAACAGAACCTTTATTAAACCTTAAAAAAAAACTGTATAAATCATTTAAACTCTGAAAATATGCCTTTTTTTAAATATAATACCTTTCTCAAAATCCACACAAATTGCAGAGCCAAAAGGGAAAAAACTAAGTAGGTCTTTCAGGAGCTATGCCAGTCATGGGTTTTTATGGAGCTCCTTGGGTTGAGGTCCATAAAACGTGGGTGTCACTTCCCATTGCATTACCAGTGTGTTAAAGCCAAGACTTGAACCTCCATTCTGCCCTTTACCTCCTTCTACTCCCAGTTTCACAGCTGATCTTGAATTAAGGAAGGGTCACCCCAAACTGCTGCCAACCAGGATGTGGCTTAGGAAGAGCCCCCATTAATAAAGAGTCAGCCCCCCTCCACATCCCCCAGAGCCTTCCCATGTGCCAGTCACTCTTCCAACTGCTGGAAACCTCTGAACGGGGCCACAGCAGCTTACACATTTGGAAAACAGAGGCAAAAAGAAAGGTTGTGCAGCCTGCCCAAGGTCACCGAGATTAAGCAGCAAACTGAGACTCCAATCCTGTCTGCAGCTTGCTTCTGACACTTTTAAAGTGCTTTTCTCTGCTTTGTTTTCTCCTCATCATTCTATGCTCCCTCCTTTTCTTGTGATCAATACTGATCTCAGGAAAGGATTTAATATCAAGCGTAAATAGTTCAGTGTAAGCTTTAATCAATATTACGGCTGGAACCCATAATGTATGTACTGTTTTTCTAACTATGAAAATAGACAATCATAACATTTTGAAACTGGAACAGATCTAAGCAATCATCTGTACAACTGCTTCCTTTTAAAGAAGAGTGGTTTGAGGTCTAGAATGATTATGATGTCTTGCTAGGATCACACGGCTAAAGAGGTTTCTAAAAGACCCTTCATCCGTAACAATCACATACTTCCTAAAATATAATTCGTGATTCTTTTTATAATTTTAAGGTTGAAATTAAATCTTTTCATTAACACTCAAAGCCCTTGAGAAGGACAAATCCAATGATATTTCTCATAAATGCCAAAAGAACTATGAGGACTTGAAACTTGACTCCTTTGGAAGAATTCTTCCCCTGGTAAAGGAATTTCAAGCCACAGTGAACAAGTGGGAGGAAGACCTCAAAGGCAAAGCCTTCCTGCAGAGCTGCAGAATCAGCCATATGTCAGCAGCCTCCAAGCCCCGCTGGGCCAGGAGCTCAGCCCTTGCCCTTCCCAGATGCCTGAGAACAGAAGAATGCTTTGGAGAGCAGAGGGGCCTCGTGCAGGCAGAGGGCCCTGCAGGCCCTCCTCACAGCCCTGTCCAAAACCACGCAGCCCGGCCAGGCACAGGGTGAGGGTCCTCCTGCCTCGCGCCCTCATGAAGTGTGCCACCTCCACAGGAAGCTGATGGGCCTCCGTGTTGTTGTGTAGGGACCCCAGAGGCTCTCCTGGCCACCAGGGAGGCCCTGGAGACTCTGCAGTCTCCTCTGCAGCTGGGCTTCTAACATCCATGCTGGAGCAGCATTACATGACACTGTCTTTGGCCAGGATCCATAGATGGGATCACCTTCCTGCAGGAAGACCACATGTGTAGATGGTATCATAATCAAAAGCTATTCAAAAGCAGATGCTGACAAAACAAGCTTGAGCATTTCAGTGAGAGCCCGTAGAATGCCCCCTACCTACCCCAGTACTGGCAGAGGGCCTAGGCCCTGATCTCAGATAGCCCCTTGAATCTCAGCCTTCTGGGCCAAAGTCTGGGGGGTGCGTTGCCACACCACATCCCACCGTTTCCCCATGTGCTAGAAAAGAGTCACTGTGATGCCCAAATAAACTTTTCTTGAAGACCCATATATTGTTCACCCAGTAAATATTAATGGAGTATAATTTTTGCTCTGAAAACACCTCTGTGCTGCTCAAAACAATATGTGTGTAGAAGGTCAGAGTCAAACACCCCTAAAACCAAAATGAAACTCTGGCATGAAAATCCAACTTCCTTATATTAAGTTAGTTTTCAAAATTACCATTAGTTGCCTTCATCCTTCCTTGGATAAAAGTCAAACCATAAGGACTTCATAGGAAAAAGGAAGCATGATTATAAAACAAAGTCAGGAATCTGAAGAGGTTGGAAAGCTGTGAGATTGTGTGCATCCCTTGCAGACATTCCCTGGAAGATTCATCGTTGTATTCCATTTAGTCACCCAAAAGCTGGGCCCCAGACAAGCTAAGAGCAATGACCTGAACACCTGCTGCCCACCTGTACATCCTGAGTGCCTCCAGGTCAATGTCTGCTCTCAGCTGGCCTCTCTGACACACACCACCCCCACTGCTCCAGCCCTTGCAGCCTACATTCCAGATCTCAGCACTTAAGCTAGGCTGTCTTGTTGGTACCACCTAATCCCAGGTCTCTGAGGCCAGGACTAGCAATACATCCCTGCCCCCTGAGGCTGACATCAGCTCCAATTCCCCCAGCTTTTTCCCAGTACACAAAGAATGAGCAGATTCCTCAGTCTGAGGTTCTGTCCTTTGCATTTCAAATGCATAGTCATCTCAGACCCTGGAATGAGGAGCTTGAGCTGTGGAAATTCTAATAACCACAGTACTTCAAAATAATTAGATTAAAAATACTTATGTAAACTTGTAAAGGTTTAGAAAAATCAGACCAAGTGATTGGTGATTTATGTAAACATAAGAATTCATCTATTCCATTTCAAACAAACCCTTTCCAAGCAAAATGCAGAACTGCAGAATCACCCATACATCTGACTCTTTTGCTTTTATATATATATATATATGCATTTTGTTTGGAAAGAATTTATATGAAACAGAATATATATATATATATTATATATTTGTTTTATATATGCTTATAAATACATATTTATATATAAATAATATATAATAGACATATATAATATATAACAAAAACTTTGCTTGGAAAGGATTTATTTGGAATGGAATTCATGAATTCTAATATTTACATAAACCACCAATCACTTGCTCTTAGTTTTCTAAACCATTGGTTTAGATTATTCTAATAATTCATGAGTATTCTAAACCAAAGATTTAGAATATATATATAGAGAGAGAGAGAGAAAGAGAGAGCCTATTTATAATATGTATATATAGAAAGAGGGAGAGGAAGAAATTAAATTGAGCCCTTTATGCCAAGATGCAGGTGTAAATTGACCACAATAATTAAAGTTCATAAAAGAGAAACAACAGTTCCCAGAATCTGTTAAACTCATGAAAACCACTCCCAGCACCTGTCAAACTCAGTCCACCTGCCCCTAGTCAGTCAGTCACAGAGAAAGACAGAGGATGGTGGCCTGGCTTCAATAGGCAGAAAGGTAAGTGTCCTTTATTGGAATAACCCCACTCTCTTAGAAAGGACTGTGAGCCAAACCACTGTGACTAGGGGATGAGGCCCCAAAGCCCTGAGAACAGGCAAACCATTTCAGACTGCCATGGACCGGATGTGTGCGTCCCCCAAAAATTCCTTTCTGTTTAAATCTAATGTCCAGTGTGATGGTATTTGGAGGTGACCACTGGGGAGTGATTAGGTAATGAGGGTGGAGCACTCATAATGGGATTAGTGTTCTATGAGAGACCTGCAGACCTCCGTCCCATTCCCACCCCACCCCACCCCACCCCGTGAGGACACAGCATGGAGCTTGCAACCTAGAAAAAGCCCCCAGTGACCACGCTGCCCCTGATCTCAGCTTCCAGCCTCCAGAACTGCAAAATAAAAGTGTTGTTTATAAGGCATCCAGGCTGTGGTAATTGGTTACAGCAGCCCTAGCAGACTCAGACACACATAAACTTCCTTCTTATGAAATATTTAGATGAGCACAAGAGGGAGGCAAGCCATCTCAGCCAAGGCTGTCTACTCACACAGCTCACCCAGAATAAAATATGCACCCAAAACCTTGCATGATGTAGCTTCTGACTGGCTTTTGTCTCTCTCCTCTTAGAAAAAGACTGCTCCTGTCCCCTAGCAGAGGGCCAACACCACTATCACACAAGGGAGAGCACAGGCCTGCCCCATGGGCTCGCTGACTCAGCTCAGAGTCAGAGGAAACCCTCTTCCCGGCATTCCCCCTCTTTCTGGGAGTCCGCCCTGCCTCGGGCTCTGCCTGGGACCCAGCTTTCCCTGCAAGTCTCCCCTTTAGACCTCCCCAACCTGGGCCAGACTTCCTTCTCTTTGGGCCCCTGAGTCTGCCCCTCCCGAAGAGAAACTGACCAGCTCCTTCTGCCTGGGACAGGAGGCTGCTGGCTGCACGACACCTGCCTTGTGCTGTCCCAAGTCCAGTCCAGTCCTGCTCTGATTGCTCCCCCCTTCTCCGTTTACCTGTTTACCAGTGCCTTTACACCTTCTCTGGAGTATGGTGGTACTGCACCTCCTAAGTCCCACTCAGAGGCCTCCTGCTTTCTCTTCCCTTTTTCTAACCCACACTTTCACTTGGAGAAACAACTTAGCTCCTTATAATGCTGCATTATGTTATTCATGCTGAAATAGAGGTTATGTTCTGTGGAAAGAGAAAACACGAGAAAGCCATTTGGAAGTTCCCTGAATCCTTCCATGAGCTGTGACAGGCTCACATCAGTGCTCTGGTGCATGCCGGTGTGACCAGGATGGTCACTTGTGCTGGACAATGGGAAATCCATATTTAGTCTCTGTCCAGGTTCTGGCATGGATCTCCTAAAACGCTTAGAATTTTCTGAGTGATCAGAGCATCTTCTGTTATTCATAATGAGCCCTTTTAGACCCTACCTGAGTTTATGCTAATAAAGTGACTCTTGTGAGTCCCTGGATAGCTTCAGGCCCAAAGCATAAGTAGAGGGCTGGATCTTCCAGCCTCACTCCCAATGAAGTCTGAAGAGGGGAGGTGCTGGCTATCCAGTTCAATCCCCAAAAGCCAGGGATTTAATCAATTGTGCCTCAGTAAATGAAACCTCCATAAAAAACAGGGTTTGGAAAACTCTGGCTGGTGAACACCAGAGATGCTGAGAGGGTGCACCCCCAAGAGAGCATGGAGGCTCCATGGGCACCCCATACTATGCTCCATGCATCTCTCCCATTTGCTATCCCTCAATGGTATCCTTTATAGTAAACTGGTAATAGCACATAAGGCTCTTTCCCCAGATCTGTGAATCGTTCTTAGTGAATCACTGAACCTGGAAGGGGGTTATAGGTTGCCCCAAATGTGTAGTCACCAGGCAGAAGTGGGAGTAACTTGGGCACACATTTGAAGCTGGTGTCTGATGTGGGGGACAGTCTTATGGAGCTGAGCCCTTAACTTGGGGGATCTGTGCTGACCCCATCAGGAGTTAGTATCAAAACTGAACTGTTGGATACCCAATTAGTGTCAGAGAATCAAAGAATTGATTGGTGTAAGAAAAAATGCTCTCAGTTTGAAATGGAATGAGGTGTTCAGTTTTCTCTTTCAAGGTGATGACTGTGGGGGTGTATTTGGGTGCACTGTGCCTGGAGGAGGCTGCCTCTGATGGGGGCAGGGTTTCTGTTCACATGGCAGAGCGCTTTGCAACCCTTCAGTACAAAAGGTTCCACATACATGCAAAATGTTATTGCAAGGTGTTAACAGTTCCAAATGAACCTTTCTATTTAACTGGGTCAACCTCTGGATTAGTCAGTCTTAACTCAATAGATGGTGAAGGGGGGCAGAACTAATGAGTTTTTGTTTAGAATATTTATGTGTCTGACCTGAGAACTATAAAAAATTATTTCAATTTGAGCCAGGGGGGAGTTTTAAACATTTTTGCCGAAAACACATAGATTACTGAATGCTATTCCTCACTTTCTTTAAATATAGGTAGAATGAAACCCAGACATAATAATGGCAATAATGCCATTTTCCAGTATCTTCCTTTTAAAAGCCTTGAGAATGTGTACATAGATTGGCTTGTTTATCCTTGCAGCATCCCTGGCCCGCTTACCTGCAGTACCCAAGTGGGTGGTAGGGAAGGAGGGCCGGGAGCGCTGGCCTGTGCTCACTCTCCTCACCTCTGGAAGCAGGAGAGGGGTCTGCTTCTCCAGTGTGTCCACAGTGTCAGTCAAGCTTCTGGGATCCAATCAGGCACTTAGTTCTTCCGGAAGCTCATTTCCTTAGTGGATGCCTTCTGGACACTGCTTTCTGGAGACCACCAATCTGCCTCCCCCGCTTTATACTGAGGGTATTAATCAGGGTTACCTGGAAACACAGAGAACCAGCAAGATACTTGTATCTACATCTACATTGATATCACTATCAATATAGCATAGATATATAGATAGATCTATAGACAGATATCTATGAGAGATTGCCTCATTATAAGGAATTGGTTCATGCAGTTATAGAGGCTGGCAAGTCCAAACTCTGCAGAGCCCATAGCTGAGGTCCCAGTTCAAGTCTGAAGGCCAGAAACTGATGTAGAAACAGGAACAGTTGACATCCCAGTGTGAAAGCCACTGGGCAGGAGAATTCTCTCTTAACCTGAGAACATCAGCTTTTTGTCCTAATCAGGCCTTCTACTGCTTAGATGAAGCCCCACCCTCATTAGAGAGAGCCACCTGCTTTCCTCAGTCAGAGGATTCAAATGTTCATCTCCCCCAGGAACACCCAGGACAGTGATATTTGAGCATGCCATTCTCCTCTCACATTGGCCTGTAAAATTCACCATCAGACTGTGTGCACGTAAGTGCCATTCACAAGCAGCCATCTCTCCTTCCATGGAATCCAGTTTGCTCAGCCCTTCCACAGGCCATTGGAGGATTCAGCAGTGCAGCAGAGCCGAGGCCACCAAGTCCCACCAGCAGACGTCCTTTAGGGGCCCCATTGTCCCTGCAGATGAACTGGGATCATTCCCCTCAAGTGCTGGGGCTGCCATCAGCACCACGCAGGGGCCAGGTCCCTGCCCACAGAGCTGAACCATAGCCCTTCCCATGGCCAGATGCTCTCTCCCTGGGGTGCATGCCATCAGCTCCCCAGTAATCAGCACCTGCCCACCACCCCTCCAAGAGGACCTCTGGACCCTCTGTCCCATCTCCATTCAGAACAAGGATCACCTGTGTCCACCTCCTGGTTTACAGAAGGACTGAAGGCCCAGAGAGGTAAGCAACAGCCAAGATCACCCAGAGAGCTCATGGGGCATAGACACAGCCCCCACTCCCACGAAAGGCCCCGTCAGAGCAGCGGCTCTGCAAATGCTGAGTGAGGTCTGGGCCTGCATCAGTCCCTTCTGTGCCTTCAGTGGTTACCCAGGTCAGTGCCCCCAGGGCCCCTATTTCCTTGGCACCTCCAACTGAAGCAGGCACCACCTCTCCCACAGGGCATGTTGGCATTCTGAACAGGGCCAGTTTTCCTCTCAGCCTGACCTAAGGGCAGTAGCATGCCCCAGCCTTGGTGAGGATCAGGAGAAGTCCTCACACTTCCCCAAATGTGCCTCAGGGGAAAGGGACGAGCAGCCTTGTGTTGGCTGGTAGCGGATCTGCACAAAATCCTCAGGAGAATGAGTCCACCCACCGTGGCTCTTTCCATCCAAAAGAGTGAGTCACAGCCAGACTGGCTTGGACTGCACAGCGCTCGGACTGCATGGCTCCAGGGCCTGGCCGCCTGGCCAGCCTCGGCCCTCACTGCGGATCCACACCTCTGAGCTCCAGGCTCCCAGCTGGAATAGTCCACACTGACGGATGGGGGCTGTCAGTGCCAGACCATGTAGTAGGTGAAAGTTCTGGAAACTTAACAGAAGAGTCAGTTCCTGTAAAATTTCCAGTGTGTTTCTGTTAGCTCCAAAAGAGAGATCTGTATGCCTCAGCTGCTCCAGCTCTGCCCATTCTAAAGGGCAGCAGGGCTCTTCCTGGATCTTAAGAGTACCCACTGTATATAGCCCTATGTCAGGGCTAAATTCTCACTAACATTTAACCTTGAGTGTTTGCGAGAACAAGGAGAGCAAGTTGGTAAGTCCATATGCATTAAAGTCAAAAATAACACAATGCCAAAATCATTCCTATTGAACTTGTTTTCAAAATGTTGGGTAGCATAGTGTTTGGTTCCTGGACATCCCCAGGAGGTACAAATTAGGATGGAAGGAGGGGCAGCCTGGGAATGTGCTGGAAGAGGGGACACAGGACAGGCTTTCATCCAGAGCAGCCTATGGGAGAACCCACAGCAGACCGCCTGGACTCCTGCTCCTCTGACGTGATTGCACAGAACTAGGGTGAAGCTCCCACTTACCAGTTTAGGAAAGAATGTGGACCTCAAGTACATGATAATTTTTAAGTGCAACATACTTTTCATACCGATTTTCTTTTAAGGAGTTAGAACTTGAGCAGAAAGCTTGATTATTCATATAGGAGCCACCTACAAATAGCCAAGCAGAAATCCAAGCTGGCTCACAGCCCGATCCCCTAGTACCTGCAGCCCTGTCCAAGTACAGAGCCTACCAGGTCCTGAGAGGGGCACTCCTACCATCCCCTCACATGTGAAGTGCTGAGAAATCAAATAGCCAAAAAAGCACTACTCGGTGTGTAGTGCTTGTTTATTTCCATAGTGTAAATACTCCCATCACGGCCAATTCCAACCAACCAGGGTCTAACCACCAGGTGGCAGAGTCCCTGGATATTTAATCATCCATTGTCTTAGCCAGTTCTGGCCAGTATTCATCCAAATACATCCAGATAATGACCACGTCTCAGGACCACCTGCTACACCTCTCATCCTGATCAGTAACCATCTCTCACCCCAACCACTGTGACGGCCTCCTCCACAGTCTGTTTCTCAGCCTTTGCCTCCTTTTCTCTATCAGCACAGCGGTGGCCTTTCACAGCAGCAGTCAGAGCGTGGCACAACTTTGCTCAAACCCATCTCTCGATGGTGACAACCAGCCTGCTTGCACCGACTTACAAGCTCACAGGGATCTGGGCCGACCCCTCCGCCCCATCTCAGCACCCTCCCTGGTCACTTTCTCCCAAAGCACGGCCTCCTTGCTGGCCCTTAAGCACACAGCATGCTCCCACTTCAGGATCTGGGGAGTGCCGGTCCCAAGGCTTAGATGCCAGCTGCTAGCACATCTGTAAGTAACTTCTTCACAGGCTCCACATTTGCTCAAATGTCACCTTCTCAGGGAGATCTTCCCTGGTCATCTCACCCTGCTCCCCAACCCCCTTCCTGCTTAATTTTCTCCTTGGTATTTCTCACATATTCATATATTGTATAATTGACTTCTTTCATTTATTTTGTGTCTCCTCCCACTAGAAGAAACACTCCAAAAAGGCATGTAATTTTTGTCTGTTCTGTTCACTGCTGTATCCCCAGACTACAGCAGCAGCAGCAGCTGGCACATGATCAATGCCCTACGTTTACAGGCGTACCTTGGAGATAGGGCAGGTTCCACTCCAGACTGGAACAATAAAGCAAATATCACAAAAAGCAAGTCCAGTAATTTTTTTTGGTTTCCCAGTGCATATAAAAGTCATGTTTACACTACACTGTAGTCTACTAGGTGTGTGATAGCATTATGTCTAAAAATACAATATACATACCTTAATTAAAAGTAATTTATTGCTAAAAACTGCTAACCATCATCTGAGCTTTCGCGAGTTGTAATCTTTTTGCTCGTGGAGAGTCTTGCTGTGATACTGGTGGCTTCTGACTGATCAGGGTCGTGGGTGCTGAAGGTTAGGGTGGCTGTGGCAATATCTTAAAATAAGACGATGAAGTTTACCATCTGGATTGACTCTTACTTTCATGAATGATTTTTCTGTAGCATGTGATGCTATATGATAGCATCTTAACCACAGTAGAACTTCTTTAAAAAGTATAATCAGTCCTGTTGAATCATGCTACTGCTTTATCAGCTAAGTTAATGTAATATTCTAAACCCTTTGTTGTCATTTGAACAGTCTTAACAGCATCTTCAGCAGGAGCAGATTCCATCTCAAGAAACTGCTTTCTTTGCTCATTCATAAGAAGCAGCTCCTCATCTGTTCAAGTTTCAAAATGAGATGCAGCAATTCATTCACATCTTCAGGCTCCACTTCTAATTCTAGTTCTTTTGCTAATTCCTCCACATCTGTAGTAAATTCCTCCCTTCAAAGTCATCCATGAAGGTTGGTTGGAATCAACTTCTTCCAAACTCCTGTGAATGTTGATATTTTGACCTCCTCTCATGAATCATGAATGTTCTTAATGACATTCTAAAATGGTGAATGCTTTCCAAATGGTTTTTTATTTTCTTTGCCCAGATCCATCAGAAGAATCACTACCTATGGCAGCTATAACTTTATGAAATGTGTTTCTTAAATAATAAGACTTGAAAGTTGAAATGACTCTTGATCCACGGGCTGTGGAATGGATGTCATGTTAGTAGGCATGAAAACAGCATTAATCTCATTGTCCATCTCCATCAGAGCTCTGGGGTGACCAGGAGCATTGTCATTGAGCAGTAATATTTTGAAAGGAGTCTTTGTTTTTAGGAGTTCTCAACAGTGGGCTTTAAATATTCAGTAAACCAGGCTTTGTTGTTCCATTTATAGAGCACAAGTGGGGGAAATTTAGCATATTCTTAAGGACCCTAGGATTTTCACAAAGTAAATGATCACTGGCTTCACCTTACAGTCATCAGATCCATTAGCCCCTAACAAGAGAGTCAGCCTGTCCTTTGAAGCCAGACATTTTCTCTCTAGCTGTGAAATCCCAGGTGGCATCTTCTTCCAAAAGAAGGCTGTTTAGTCTACATTGAAAATCTGTTGTTTAGTGAAGCCACCATCATTAACGATTTGAGCTAGATCTTCTGGATAACCTGATGTAGCTTCTCTATCAGCACCTGCTATTTCACCTTACACTTTAATGATATGGAGATGGCTTCTTTTCTTAAACCTCATGAACCAGCCCATATACCAGCTTTCAACTTTTCGTTGGCAGCTTCCTCACCTCTCTCAGCCTCATAGAATTAAAGAAAGTTAGGGCCTTGCTCTGGATTAGGCTTTGGCTTAAGGGACTGTTGTGGCTGGTGTGATCTTCTATCCAGACTGCTACAACTATCTCCATATTAGCAATAAGGCTTATGCTTTCTTATCCTGTACGTCCAGTGAAGTAGCACTTTTAATTTCCCTCAAGAACTTTTCCTTTGCATTTACAGCTTGGCTAACCATTTGGTGCAAGAGGCCTGGCTTTTGGCCTGTCTCAGCTTTTGACATACTTTCCTCACTCAGTTTAATCATTTCTAGCTTTTCATTTAAAGTGAGAGACATGGGACCCCTCCTTTCCCTTGAACACTTTGAAGCCATTGCAGGGTTATTAATTGGCCTAATTTCAATATTGTTGTGTCTCAGGGAAAGAGGGAGGCCTGAGGAGAGGGAGAGATGGGGGAACAGCTAGTGGGTGGAGCAGTCAGAACACACACACCATTTGTCCATTAACTTTGCAACTTATATGGGTACAGTTTCTTGTGCCCTAAAATAATATCATTAGTATAAAGATCACTGATCATAGATCACCATAACAAATGTGATGATAATGAAAGAGTTTGAAATATTGTATTACCAGAATGTGATACAGAGACATGAAATGAGCAAATGCTGTTGGGAAAATGGCACCAATATTCTTGCTTGACTTGGGATTGCCACAAATCTTCAATTTATAGAAAACCCAACATCTGCAAAGTGCAGTAAAGCTCAGTGAAACAAGGTGTGCCTGTACCAAGCAGATGAACCCCAGATTTGGTCAGAGCATCTGATAAGGAGTACTTTTGTCCCCCCTGCCTTTTCCTCTGTTGCCCCTCCCCCATCTTATCAGCTACTCCAGCAACCTTGCTCCAGGTGGGCCCCCAGCTCAGGTCTGCCTTTGCACCTGTGGGATAGACAACCTGGACGACGCTAACTAAGCCTTCTCACTGTAATACAGATGGACTAGTTTGGGTTGTCCCTCCTACACAAATTATCATTTCTAGTATGAACTGCCAAAGTTTGTTTTATACACAATAGGAATGAGCATTCACATTGTGTAACACCGAAAAAAGAAAACAAATAATTTCATCAAGAAATATTAAAACGTTCTCAGAAAATATAAATCCAAACCCTGCCATTGCTATCTCTACAACAGCTTACGGAAAAAGCACTCTTTCAAGGAGGCTTTCTTGCTCCGCTGGTCCAGATGTTACTCCTGCACAGGCTTTGGCCAAGGGCCTGGTGCAGTCCTGTGACATCAGTGATGGATTCTAGGGCTTCCCTGAGCCACAGCACCCATCCTCGGGAACCTGCTCCACCCCGTCTCCCCTGTGCAGAGCCAGGTGGAGCCCAGCAGGCCCAGCCGTGAGGGGCCTCCCGGGTCTGAGCCTGTTGCTGGCTGCCTCCCTGCCTGCCTTCCTGCACAATGGGGCCAGGCAGATGGCCATGGACCTACCGCAGAGCGCCTTGAGGACCGGCCTGCACCACAGCGCGAGCGCCCTCCTGCAAGCGCACCCCCCTTTGCACGGGGCGGAGTTCGCTGCCGCGCTCCGGGCGCGCACTCCCTCGGGTCCTGCCTCGTCAGGTCGTCAGGGCTCCGCACCTAAGGCCTGGATGCCTCCTGAAGTCGAGCCAGGCGGCCGGAAGTGGAACAGACTGCAGGTGGTGACATCTAGTGGCCCCAAGTGGTACCCAGCTTCATAAGTACACATTTGGTAATTATATAGATTGGGGGCGGGAAATTCAGAACACACTACCTGCGGCCTCCGCGGACTAAGAGCTGTAAGAAAAGACACTGAGGGGCATCTGTGTCTTGCCTTTGTCTGTCCTGCTGGAGGACCTGGCTTGGTTTGTCATTTTCTCCAACTCCTTGCGTCTCAAATAGGTGTGCCAGCGAACCTTCCCCCAGAGCCCATGGGTGTCAGCTCGAAGCAGGCGGGAGGGGCAGCAAGGGCCCGCGCTAGGAAGAGCCTGAGTTAACAGTGCGCAGAGGGTGACCAGGCGTCAGCCTTCAGGCCTGGAAGTGCTTCGTTTATATCAGAAGAGAAGAACTGCGTTTTGTAGTCAAGGGGAGTCCTCCCCGCACTGAGCAGTATTTCCAAATACAATTGCAATTGCTAAGCATCTAGCAAGAGCTAACAAGGGGGGTACCTTCAGCCCGGGACAAAGGCAATACTGAATTAAAAAACAGAAATAAAGTTGGAACTTAACTACAAGCTTCACGTAGTGAAATTTCCCAAGAGATTTATTACTTGGGTGTGCCAGCAAGTTTAGATACATATGCCCGGTTACCATGCAAAGAATTCTTGATATTTCTCCATATGGATAGGAATATTCATCACATAATTTACAGTTCAAACATACAAAAGTCAAGAAATGTAGAAAATTCATTCTTTTACTACCAACTCACTAATGTGGCTTATGTATACTTGGCATGTTAAAATAATAATGAGAACCATGCAATGACCATAAAATCCCTATATCCATAGACAGCTGAGTAATGTCAGAGGCAGAGCTTGCATCTATGAACTGGCCTATTTATCCTGAATTTAAATGGGGTTCTGAAGCCTGACTTTTCTCCACCTCAGTTTTGGGGGTGGTTGGCCTTTTAGAGAACAGAGAGGGTCATTGTGGAAAGCAGGGTTCATCCATGTATTTCCCCCTGATCTGCAGCACCCTGCATCCTGCTACTTAGGATTATTTTTTAAATATTTCTAAAAATTACTACCAGCCTGTGAGTCTTAGTTACAAGCTTACAGTAATGAGCACATCAAACAATTTTGTCTTAAAATATTAACAATATATCCTTATTTAAGGGAGGAAAAAGACAAAAATAACTCAGGAAGACCTGGCTGGCTAAAGACAGGACCAATATATAATTTCCATGTAAATCCCTTCTCTGAAATTGCCAGTGAGCAAAGAGAACAGCCTACCTTCCTGACCAACTCCTTAGGGATCTCAGCCCTCCTCATTCCCATGAGCCATCCCAGGGCAGAGAGCAGACTGGTAAGCAGGCCCTCTGCCTGAGGGGTAGTGAGCGCCCATGGGCAGCCACACAGAGAGCAGATGAGTGGGGCCACACTCACACCCCCTGCCAGGCTCCCAGGAGTTGCTCATCCAGGATAGAAATCGTGGTAGGAAGCCCAAAGAAGAAAACAGCTTACGAGGCACCCTAATGGAACCATTATAAGTCTCACCAAAGTGATTAAGAAATGCCTTTATTTAAGAAAGGGGATGTACTCCCACAGTGTGCTTCAGCCAGATCTGGGGCCAACAGAGGCAGAAATGGTACAGGAGACAAAGGGATGCTTTAGAGGGGACAGTCATGCCGCACACAATTGGCCTTTAGCAGGTGCACCCCCTGCCTCTCCTCAGGTGTCCTCCTGGGGGCAGGCATGTCCTCTAGAGGCGAGTCCTGGTCCCTGGCCTTTCACACCCTCTTGTGGACAGCTGACAGCCTCATTTGGCTCAGAAGAGTTCTATGTGGAGGGAGTGTCCTGCTGCACATGACCCTGGCCTCTGAAAGGTATCCTAGGACAGGCATCTGTGAGTGCACTTCCCCTTGATATACAAACGGCCAGCTTCATCTCAGAGTGCAGGATCTCTGAGGTCATTGCAAAGGAAGCAGGCAACTGAAATAATCTTGCCAGAGGGAGGTGGATTAGCAGAAGAGAAACCCCACAGCCCAGACTTCAGGAGGCTGTCATCCATCAGACCCTCAGAGGATCTGAGGGATTCAGTTCTCTGCTTATCCAGAGGAGTGAGCTAGCCCCTTTCATACACCAACTCACACACATAATCAAACTCACACACAATCACATACACACTGTGTCCTGGAACACTGACTCAGGAATGACTCAAGAGGAAGATTTACCACTGAATGAATCACCAGCGTTGATCCATGCCATATCCTGGGTTTTCCTGGGAGGTCTTCCCAGTAAATCCTAGCCAGGCCTGGTTCTGGTTAGCCAATGAGATCATATCCAAGGGCATGGACCCATCTCACCACCTATCTAACTGCAGGGACTCACTGCCCCTCCTAGCCCCCCACGCACCTGCTGCTGGATTCCTGTGTCTACTGCTGCTCCCTCTGTATGGAATGCTCCTCACCTTCTCCCCACCCGTGAAAATCCTACCACGCCAAGATCAGCCCTGCACAGCCCATTTGGCATCTCGCACATGTGGTTATACTGTGTTCTCTGATTGTTGGATCTGCTGTCCAGAGGCCATGGGCTTCTTGAAGGTGGGGTAGACATAACCCTTCTGTTCTGACTCTGGTGGAGAGATAGCTGGGTAGATCCAGCTAGTTTCTCCAATCCAGTCAACTCTCCACTTTCTCCCAGTGGAAAGAGAGACTGTGCTATTCCAATATACTCTAGCCTAGACACATTGAAAACCATTCTCAGTGGGAAAAGGAAAAGGAAAGCATCCATCTTCCTAATGTCCAACACCAAAAATCCCCTAAATTAAGAAGAGGCTTCTCCCCAAGACTAATTCAATGTAACTCAACAAAAGGTCACCTCTGCACAAGGCCCTGGGTGAGGCACCATGCAGCCACATCTGGACATACTCCTGCCACTGCCTGCCTGCCCACCTGCCCACAGAGGCACGAGGTTTGGTCTGCAGTCTCTCGTGCTGCCCACCCAAAGGGCATTTACTGGGCACTTACAATGTCTCAGGCCCTGTTCTTGAATTGGGAATGTAGCAGGGTCCAAAGCCCCCTGTTGCTCACATTCTAGTGGGGGAACAGACAATAAACTGGGCACAGACAAAAATAGCTCCCCATTTCAGATGGGTCCACACTATGATGAAAGGCATGCAGGGAGATGCTGGCTGTGCCAGGATACTGTGTCCAGGCATCAGGGGAGGCCGCCCTGTCCAGCCGACAGTTGGCCAGTGATCTGAGTGACAGGAGGGGTGAGCTCTGGTCTTCTGCCGTGGGACCTCAGGCCTCTCATCCAGTCTGGCATCCAGTCTTTATCTGCAAAGTTGAGGTAAAAGTCTTTCTCCTAAGGTGCTGAAACGGAATGTTGCAAAAGCTTAACCACAGCAAAAAAGCCTGTTAAGCATTTGTCCTTCTTGCTGTCCAGTCTGAGGTGGTGCTGCTATAACTCCATGGCCAGTACACAGGTTGCTGTCCGCCTGCTCTACCTGCCCCTTCCCAGCGGAGGCCCCCAGCCCCTCCGAGAGGCTTACAGTGTTCTTTGGGATCCTCCTGGGCTTGACAGGCTGTATAAATCTAAGTGCATCGTCATGAACCTCAGCATAGAT